TGCCCATTGTGGAGGGTTTTTCTTTTTCATTGGGATTATTATGCCACATACAGTCTGGATTCAGACGTGTGACATACATACATACATACATATATGTATATGTATATACATATATATATATATACATATATATATATATATATATATATATATATATATATATACATAATTCCGAAGATAGCGGCAGATTTGTCGGGGACGTTCGTCAACCAGAGTTCACTGAAGCACAACGGAAATTTTGTTCACTCAAGACGATACTTCAATCGGCAGCTCAACTCATTCCCTATAGGACTTGGCTGGTGATCCGGTCCGTTGTTCAATTCGCAACACCGGAGCTCTAGTCAAATCAAGGCGGAATTCGAATGGTTTCCTACAGTCTGGTTGATCGAATAAATCGCGAATGGTTCGTGAGCATTGAGGTAGTCGGAATAAGGACGAATCATGGATCACGAAGAGCAGGTGCAAATTGGGCACGAAATTGTGCTGTTAATCGTGAACGGCAACCTCTCGTGACCGAGACGTAGAAAAAATGCGGCAGAAGTGACAGTTAATTGATTGGAGGGAACTAATCCGATTAAATATCATGGTGCAAAGAAACGTTACTAATAAAACAGGTCTTCGCTAATAGCCTGCTTCTATTGTTTACTTCCTTCAGCTTCTGTTTCAGGCTAACCGGGATACCCTCGGGTTAAGCAGAGCTGGATGCTACCAGGCCGGTCTCCGGGTTGTGGATAGGCGGGTGCCTTCACCGAAGAAGATTGGCTGTGAATATTTTGCAGCATGTCGCAACAAATAAGCAGTCACGAACACACAGCGGCAGCACTACCAGGGTGTGGTGGGTTTCAGGCTGGCGACCTGCCTCCTGTTTAGAATCCGCATACGCCCAATGACAGTGTCGTGACAAATGTCGATGTGACTGGCCTTTTAAAACTGAAGTCATTGAGCCCCTCACTTCCGAGGCGAGGGCTCACTTTCTGCTGCCTTGCCGTTCGCACTTGATTGTGCAAAGGCTAGAGGTGCGCCCTCAAAATAAAAAAATCGCCGAGTGACGCTGGAGACGTCTCTCGTACCAAACCCCCAAGGAACTTCATGATCATGTCTGGAGCCGACTTATCCTTTCCAAGGAACCAGCCGCAGTAAAGTAAGTAAAGTTTGAGCCTCACGGCTTCTAACTGTATGGCATTATTAGTCTATGGTTCGTTAGCTAGAAACTGTAATGCGTTTCACCGTGGATGGATCACCACAAAGCTACAGTCTGATGGATGGTCTGTCACTATGAATGGTAGCCTAATGTCATAAAATGAAGAATATCTCGATATCAATCCCGGGCGGTGTTGGCCCGGTGGTAATGTCATCAAATTATCACCCCGACGACGTGTGTTCGAATCCCACCACCACCTCCGCCTAACTTTCCCCATTGTGTGTGTTGAATCACAGCCCTTTTATTGTCCGCTTCCGTCTTCCTGAAAATTGTATCTTTTTTAAATTCGATAAAAGCAAGTAAAAATGAAAGAAATAAAAGATATAAAAGATATACATGTGTGTAAACTGAATGACAGAATTGCATAATTGCCTTTCATAACCACCTGATTGCATCTACTCGCGGTCTCGATCAGGAAAATAACCAAAAGTTTACATCTTCGCCGAATACATTATAATAGGGCTACACACACAGACATTAAAGTTTATGGTATTCTTGCAGTCGAATTAAAATATGCACACAATGGTTTGGAATAAAGGACCATGATAGACAGTCACAAATGAGACAAATTTGCGACCGGATTTCATGGTCAGCAAGAGAGCAGTTGCAGAGATAAGCTTTGTGTTTGACTATTTGGTAGAATTCGTCGTCTATATGTCAAACGAAGCGTGAAATGAAAAGCTAGGAAGCACAGTGGACAGTTGCTTCGACCTGGTTGGGNGGTCTCATTAGACGTGCGTGAATCCATCGGCCTGATCAGCTGTTGTCCGGTGAACGAGTGGGTAGCATGCCTGCGTTCTGCCCATGAAGTCCCGGGTTCGATTCCCAGTTGAGTCGATGGATTCGCACTGTGCTGATGAAATCGAACCAGGTCGAAGCAGCTGTCCATTGCTTCCTAGCTTTTCATTTCACGCTTCATTTGCGTTATATAAACGACGAATTTCCCCTTTGATATTTGGTAGAACTGGTGAACGATGTAGTTTATTGCAGATTTACAAATCGCCATGCAATCGTTCCACAACACTCTAGGTGTGACTGACCAAAACCAGGCCACTGCAGACACGATCAGATTTAAGATTACCCACCCCACGAGAACCGAGAAACTGACATTTTTCGGCCAACAGCTCATTATCACATCGGTACACTTAGGTCACACCAACTGATGACGTCATCAAGTACCCGATTTCATATGGGAAGAACGGCGACTGAGTTTCTGGTCAAAACGTCATTTGAAGTTGAAACCCGAAACGGTATGACTTCTTAATCGGATCCAACGAACAGCTGGATTTTCACAAGTTATGACATATTTTGTAGGGCTGATTGATAAATATATTGTCGTCGTTTCTTGGCCATCTAATCTACCCAGTATCAGGTTACAACAAAAATGCAGCGTTGGTGTTCGTCGTCGATGTGTGACTCTAATAGTGTGTACGCTGTTTATCACCAAACTTGTCGATTAACCAACAATATGGGGAAAAAAGAAGTAATTATATGACATTCTTGTGCATAAGTTTGGTACAAACTCAATTTATCACAGTTTGAATAAATCTGAAGGTATGAATGGTCATGGTAGTCCATACACAGTCAATGAAAAAAAACTGCGTTCCGTTGGCTTAGCATTCCAGTGACGGACTGATTACGTGTCCAATCAAGAAAAATATCCTCTTCAACGTTTGTATGCACAATTAACAGTTGAGTCGGTCTGTGGGATGACAATGTACACTTTGGATAGATAATTCTGCACAAACCAGGGAGTTCTTTATCTCCTCACAAATGTTGTTTGACATACGGGGATCGAGTGTAGTAAGTACTGTTGAACGAATCGGACAATCGATCGTACATCGTTTCATTGCGAATTTTCGTGGCCAACCACAACTCCAACAGATCGTACGCTAACGGTTCTACATGGGGCAGAAATTTGTTTGCGAAGAAGTGCGGTTGTGTGACTAGGAACGGTAAATCAGCTAGACCGTAGATACAGACCGTCCGTTGCCAATATCCACTGCCACAAGGAATGTGCGAATCGGTCCAGATCTTGGCCCTAGCCAACGGGATAGCCACATTCTCCTCATGGGTACCGGTAAACGCACCGGGGATTGGGAACACGTCCGGGTTGTGATTCAGTGTGGCAAAAAATGTCTCATCCGGGACGATCGATCCACCGGTTTGGTTTTCGTGTTTCNCTCGTGTAACAGCTGGCCTCGTACACTGTTCAAGGCGTAGTCGACAAATTCTCGACGAAGGGCCACGTGTACACTGCCTTTGTAACAGGTGAACTGCAAGAGAAATAACATGGGCTTGGGGTAATCATTTGAGACAGTTTGGATTCAGAATAAAACTTACTGCTTGATTGATGGGCCAATAGATGCTGTGTCTGAAGTACAAAAAATGACTAGCTTATCAGTCCATTGCGCGGTTCACGCACCAGTGCCCAGACACTCTACCCGAAGTTACGCGGTTCGAGTCCCTGGAGGCAAATAACAAATGTGACTCACTGTTTGTTTGTTGGTGTTGTCGGTGTTGGTGGTGGTGATGGTGATGGTGATGGTAAACTCCTAACCAGAAAGAAACAACTGCTCAGTGCTGTTTTGGACATCATCACACATGAAACTCCATCGCGTTTGAAATCAAATTACATGGTGTGAGAGATAAACAAGATCAATTCGTCTATCGTCTGTATTAGAATAACTCATTTTCGCTCCTATAATCTATACCTTTTTCAGTTTAAGATGTCCCAAATCTAATTTAAGATGCCACACAATGAATTTAAGATATCAGAGTATCAATTTAAGATGTGTTGCTATGTGGATAGTACCTTGCTCAGTACAGAGTGAGAACATAGCAACATGACATCTTAAGTTCATATTATGACATCCTAAATTGGATTTCGGACATCTTAAACTGAAAAAGGTATAGACTTCCATCTTCGAAGCGCAATCATTCTGGTAAACCGGTGGTGGATAGTATCAGACAGAACGCAGTAATTTGGTCTGCGTTATGTTTTGAGCCCAACACGTGGTGTATCGACTTGATTGGAAAAATTAATCACGCCACAGATTTTGCTCCCGTTCGGTTGGATTAACTGTGCACCCATGTGACCCAGTACATAGATGACCTTTGACATTTGCCCATCATCATGCCCCGACTTGGTCCGACGGCATACCTTTTACTTTGTTTTTATTGTTCTCATACTGCCTCTAAGCGTTCCTGGTCCCACTCATTTGTGCGTCCTGTACCCTTATCGCCCTTGAACTCTCTCTCTCTGTCCCACGCTTGCCATTCCCGGGCGTCATTACATACGAACTACCCTGGATCCGTTCCCCCACGCACGTTTGGTTCTAGTTCATTGTCATCCCGTCCTCTTTATTTTGACCTTCATATTTGAACATTCGCTTCACTTGCTTAGCGGACTGCTTTGTTCCCTTGGGTTCCCGTGAACCGTTTGTGTGTCTTGCATTGACCAATGACTGCGCTTCTTTATCGAGCACTTGCGATTGGTATTTCTATCCCTTAAATCGTCCCTTTTCTAAGCCGAGTTTGCATTCCTTTTGGTGATCTCTCCGCAGGTGGTTTGTTCTGCGCCTTGACGTGCACTGTATTTCGTTCTTGTACCGCGGAGATCGGATTGGCCCACAATTTGAGTTATGGTGTTTGTTTTTGTACATATTTGTCTGCTTATTTTACACGTAGATTACCGACTTCTCGTTATCTGGAATCGGACTTGGGGTTTGTATCTACGAGTCATTCAACCACTGGACGACAGTCCGGTACACGTGGGTTGAGATTGAGTTTGGCTGCTGTCATTTAACTGACCGGCGACCCGATTACCGTTGGCAGATGTAGATGTCCACTCCCAGTGGGATTTGTTCAATCACGCTCAGTCGGATTCGGTCTTCGTAAGCGTGAATGACTGAGTTACTACGAGTACGTTGACCTGAGACAAGTTCGGTGACACTGTTGATTACCAACGCAAGGTATTGTGCCGACAACGGAACTATCTCATTGTCCATGAATCGAATATTCCACAAAATAATGGTTTCAGGCTACTGACAATGACCGTTCTTTTGATAACTGTTCAGGGTTTTACCGTTTTACTGTGTGCGTGTGTGTGTCTGTGTGAAAATGGAACGCAGTGTGTAGCAGCGGTGTTCTTTTCTCCTACAGTGGATTGAGTAAACATTGCCTACGGACTCCGCGCATAAATGTGCGTAAACTTCAGACCATGGATACCTTCGATAAATTGATTTGCACATAACACACTGTCTTGATGCTTGGTATCCATCATAACCAGCAATATGGATTTGTGGTCACATTCGTACTCGACAGAGAGTCGTATGTTTTGATGAGCGGTGTTGAGTTTGTGAAACAATGTCCTAGAATCCTATTGATAGTTGCAAGTTGCAAGTGTATCATTAAACTACTTTTGCCGAGAGTATGCACCAGTCTACCTCCAGC